TTTGTCAGCTCTCAAAAATGAATTTCTGAGGGTAGTTTTGAAAAGGAGTTTATACAAAGTTGTTCAACAGATTTGGTTCTTTTTGGATGACCCACTCTCTTCAAAGGCATTAAACAGGAAAAGTTCCCTAAGAAAGAAAGGATTGCAGGCAAAAGATGGTGCAGCCCGCCAGTTGAACCAAAACAAATTGTTACTGAAGGCCAGCAAGTCTCAATTTCTTTCTTGCGGTCCAATGTCAGGCTATCTCCTGCTTTCCTGTGATAAGTCTTCCTGATTTTGCAAGGCCCACGACGGCGCTTCCGCCTTCCTGAAGCTATCTGCTCGTGCTCAGCACCCAACTTGGATATGGCATCCTTTGCCGACAATTCCACCGAGTCATCAGTGAGTGATGAAATCTTCCGTTTGAGTTGGGTGATGCATGCCCCAGCGCAGGTGGTCTTGAACAGGTCTTCTTGTCTCTGAAGGCAAGCGTTTTTCGACTGCTTCCATTCCACCAGCGCTCCAACTGCAGCAAAAGAATCTGGCAACAATAGGAGGTCTTTCACTGGCTGAAATGCAATATAGTCCTTCAATGCAGTTTCCACAGGCAGCTTCCATGCCCCTGGATCATCCTGCTCAAAAGCCGTACGCGTGCCAGCCCTGTTCAGGGGTGGTTAGAATTTTAAGGACCCTCCCAGCACGTTCTGTTTGGACACCTTTTCCAACAAACACTTGCACAACTATATTTCCCAAGAAATGCGCCTAATAGCTGCCTCAGCTGCTTCCAACAAAGAAGTTCCGCACAGAACCACAGCCCAACAGGCTGCCTTGGTATCAAAAGCACTGAACCTCGATGAGGTGCTGAAGCCGTGCATCTGTATGATTGCATCAATCAGCACACTGGAATGAGAGGCGTGCAAGAAGTACCTCGCAAGCTCTGCCGTCTCCACCTCAAAGTCAGCATGGCTCTATTCGAGAATCTTTGCAGCAAGACCAGCGATTGCATCATCTGAATGAGAGCCTGCCAACCGCTTGTGCAATCCGAGACATGTCTTTTCTTTGACAGTCTTCTGTATGGTTTCCAGGACAGCTTTGTCGATCCCAATCTGTTGGAAGTGACCCAGGTGGCAGCGATCATACTTTCCACCATTTGACACATACCTAGGCGTGCACCAGCTACTCAGAACGCACCACAGAATACAGCCGGTCAAGACAGTGGGGTGGGAAAGAACATGTTTCTGTAAAAAGAAACAGTTCAAGTCCAAGTTGCAACCCCTCCATTTTCATGGATGTAGTTTCCGGGTTCAAGACATACAAGTAGCATTCATCTTTGAGGTCCGATGGAATGTGAAGCCATTTCAAGGTGAGCTCAGGGAACATGCTTCTCAGAACTTCCATTCCTCGAGGAGGAGCAGAATCCTCTGGCGGTGCCGTGGCCAAACCAAATAGCTCAATTTGCACATCCTCCTGCAACTTGAGAATGGTGGCTCGTAAGCTCTCCTCATTTGCCATGACGTCCCAGGGGACAAAGAAGAGCATCTTGAGAAGTTGAACCTTTCGACGCTTGAAGGAAACCTGAACTGGCAGAACACCTGCACACATACATCATGACCACAGCATCATGGACGCACCAACTTTATTGCACCTGGTGAATGAATACAACTTTTCTTATACATTTGGCAAGAAGCATTGGACTTCCCAAACAGCAAAGGACATGCATTGGAAAATTCAAGCTCCGGCTGAGATGAAGCACTGATCCACTTGATCCAGAGTTGCTTCCCCATCACGAATGGCTCACCTCCGTACTCCTGAATGCTGTCTTGTTCAGCCTGCTGCTTCAATATCTTTGAAGCCGTCTCCAAATCCTGGGCAGGGCAGAATATTATTCACAGTACAGCATGCAAAAAAACACATGAAACAGTACTTTGCAGCACCATCTGTGTGGGAGACTGGGTGGCCAAACAGCCATCAACTCTGAGGTTCGTGCCAGTTTGTGGTCTGACAATATCCACTTGTGGGAAGATTTCCCTTTGCCAGCAGACATGCTTGGGGGGTCTGACGACGAGGATGGCGGCTGTGCTGCAGCAGCACCAA